TTAATTAAATAGAAAAATTTTCTATTCTAGTATATTATGGAACATATATACCAATATGCATGGATTATACCTTTCCTTCCACTTCTAGTTCCTTTGTTAATAGGATCTGGACTTTCATTTTTTCCGATGGCAACAAAAAATCTTCGACGTATATGGGCTTTTTCGATACACGTGTTATTCTTAATGTGTACTGTACGTCTTTTACTATATAGTTATAAATAAATATGATGTAGATTATATATAGTCATCATTATGCATAAGTTGATTTGCATATTTTTGTATAGACATGATAGATAGAGAAAAGGAATAAGAAAATTTTATAAGTATAATCCCAATATTACAGCAAGCTAGTCTTCTCATTTTAATTAATCACAACTTTTGATTAACTCAAAATAATCTCAATTATTGTGATAGCCTTCCTCCTCTACCTCTATTCTCTCGATCTCCTCTCTCCAATTACCTAAACAAATCAAATAGCATTTTAACCTTATTGGCGGTTTCGCTTTAATGTGAACCCAATAAAAAAAAAAAGATTCGATATTTGTAATTGCTGATAATGTGGGCGTAAAAAATAAAATAAAAATGTGTTATATATATATATATATATATATATATATATATATATATATATATATATATAGAAATGGGATCATATGAGACCACATCCCTTATGTAAGAACCCTAATATATGTGAGGACATATTACAACCGTTGATCAATTGCATTCAATGACTACAATTTATCCCAATCAAACATAATTTCAAAAACAATTTTCTAGCGTTTTCTCTCTCCTTCTTCAATTTCTCTACTCCCTTTCAACTGCTAATTGCTTTGTTTCTTCATCAATTCTTCTTCAAACTTCATTGATTCTTTGTCAAGGTGATTTTCATTTATTTTAGTTTAATTTTCGTTATCTTACATATTTTCGTTTTTTCGAAAAACCTAGATATCACGCTTATTTGTGCTATTACGTTGATTTTAGTTTGATTTTAGGTTTATTTGAATAATTATTAAGTTGATTTTAGTTTTATTTGGGTAATTATTTTTTATTTGTGTTTTTACCTTGATTTTTGTTCGATTTTTCGGCTTAATTTCTTTAATTATGTTTAATTTTTCTGCTTAATTGTATTAAGTTTGTGTTCTTGTTCTTTGAATTGTTTGGATTTTGAGGATTATTCTAATTTTTACTTGCGGGAACTCGAACTTCTCCATTTAAGCAATTTCTGAGTTCCTCTTCTAATCCATTGAAACAATTCATGAGGTAAGATAATATCTCGACGTTTTATTTTCAGATTTTTTCCCCCTTTTCTACTACTACATGTCGCTATGTTGCTGCAGCCCTGCTACTTCCCTGTTGTTTCATCCCTTCCTGTCTTTTGTGGTGTTGTGCGGTTATGTGATTGTGTGCTAGGTGTACTTGGTTTAAATTATAGAGATGATGATTTTTATAAAGTTAATAGAATTATTAGTCAAGCAAATATTGTTTCTAGTTATATTGAATCCTGAATTTTAGTGCGATTAAAATTATGGATGACTACTGATATATGTGTAATTGAGATTCCGAATGGCATAAATAGTTGATTTTATTACAGCTTTAGAAAATTTAGTTATAAAACTATATTTGTATTTGATTACAACTACTGAAGGTTCCCAACAATTTTCTATACTTTATACCAATGTTGGTGGGAATTGGAACTATCTGTGAATAACAATGACTATAAAATCAGACTGTGTAATCTACTAATATGCATATAGTGTGATTCGTAATTGCTGTTTAATATTGCACACAAAGTCACGATTCAGTTGCATGTAATTGAAACAGGATGATGATCAAGTGCAACATCAGATATCCATGTTAATATTCATAAGTCTGGCAAGTGGATTGCTGTTGTTTTTACTGACAAAAGGCTTCGATGAATGGGCTTTAACTAGTTATTGAAACTGGTACAAAAACTTTGTTGCTACCACGTCCACATGCCAAATTCTCATGAAAATACCTTATTTTTCTGTTTTGATTTTGATTTCCGCTGTTGAGTAGATTGTGTTGTTTCATCATCCCCAGACTGCCACCATCTCATTTTTCATATCTCCGTGTTTTCGTTCAGCTTTTGTGGGAGTTAAGAATGTGAATCTTGTATCCGCTGCGAATTCGTATATACAGGTTTGTTTTTGATATGTGTTCTTTCTGTTTACTCTGCTTTGGAATGAGAGGATTTTGTGCATTTGATAAAGAGTAATGTTCATCTTAATAGGAGCATTGTCATAACACTAAGAAGTACTAATAAGATATGCTTTTAGTGCTCAAATACTCCCAAATAAGATATGATATATATATGACATATCTTAAGTAGTTTGTCGAAAATTTGTGCATTCCTAATTTGAATATAAGCTCTTCTTTCTCAGCTTACATCTATTAAGTATTTTTTAGACTGTGAATGGGAAAAACGGGATTATAATGAGTACAATGGTTATTTATGACCTTTCAATAAGTTGCTGACAATCATGCTTTGCAAAATCAGCATTTGAATAAACTTCGCTACTATTGTAGTAGCTTGTTTTTCTGACTCATAAATGTTCAATAAGGATGCAAGTGAACTCATGTTCTATTAAATGTTTTTCAATATTTTTTTTCTCTTTTTTTAATACCAAAGTTTACTGGCGCGTAAGTTTCCTTCAGCTTATTTGTTTTATATACATCAACCTACTAGCTCAATTGGTAGAGCATTATGAAAATGCACAAAAGATGTGGGTTCATATCCCACGTAGGTTTATTTGTGTAATGTAGAGACAACCATTTGTATGAGAGTTTAGTTGTAACAAAGTTTCTATAGTTATTAGTTATTTCAAGCTAATTTTTTGCTCAGATAATTTCAAGCAAAGAATTGTTTGTTTGCTCATTTGATAAATGAACAAAGAATGAAAGAATTGTTGCTCATTTGATAAATGAGCAAAGAATTATTTGCTCATTTTATAAATGGTGGTTAGATCTTTGTTAGTCTTTGAATGATGTAAAAATGGTGGTTATATTTGAATCGAAATTGGATATTTTGTGATGACTTTTTATTATGGTGACTATTGTGGTGGTTATATTATGGTGACTTTTGTGGTGGTTATATTATGGTGATTTTTATACCTAGCGTTTATTTGAAATATTTTCTCATTTCATAAACGAGCAACGAGCTATTTGCTCATTTGACAAATGAGTAAAGAAATATTTGCTCATTTGCTAAATGAGCAAAAAATTGATTGCCCATTTCCCAAATTAAATGATCAAAGAAATGTTTGCTTATTTTACAAATGAGTAACTAATTATTTGCTTATTTCCTTCAAAAAAAAAGTATATATATGTTTATGATAAGCCGTGTTTTGTGCATAATTGTTAGCTTATTTCTAGTTGTTTCTATTAGTTTAGCCTAGTATTTTAGTTCATTTTGGTTTAATTTGGTTTAGTTTCGATGATTCGATGCTTTTATGGGTAGTTTCGTTGTTTATGATGTATTTCAGGATTAACGGAGCTAATTTGGAGATTTTATGAAGTCATGAGGCTAAACCGAGGCCCACGGACCTTCACGAAGCTCGTTGGTTGAAGAACGAGTCATTTGAGCCCCTTTTGGAGTGAGGCACGCCCATGCCCAGCCGAGGCATGTCCGTGCCTGACTCTCAGAAGTTGAAGAAGTTGTGTTCGATATGAGGCACGTCCGTGCCCAATATAGGCACGTCCGTGCTTGGATTCCAGAAGATATGAGGATTTACACTCAATGTGAGGCACGTCCGTGCCTCTTGTAGGCACGTCCTTGCCTCTTAGGAAGACTGCGCGATATATTTTTGTTGCGTTTTCATATCTTTTTCGGAGTATAAATACTCTAGACTTTATATTATTTCATTATTGAGTATTTTTATTAGCATCTAGTTTTTATTATTAGACCTAGTTCTCTCTATTATTTTTTTTTTACGTCGCTTTTGTAATTCAAGATTCAAGTTCTACTTTGACATTCTCCATTTATTTCAAGATTTGGTATTTTATTTTCATCTCTTATTTCTTAATTATGTTTTCCTTGATTATTATTGGTATGTGTGAGTAGTTTTCTTATTCCAAGATCTAGGGTAGCCCAATTATGATTGATGCATGAATTAATTCTTTAAATTCTCTAATAACCATTGTAATTTTCTATGCTAAATTGATTGTGATTATGCCAATGCTATATTAGAGATATTTAGTATTGTTATTATTCCATTGTTTCTATCACAACGAGAGTTGGATTTTAACGAAATTGAGTAAATTGATTTAGGGTTTGAAATTCAACATGAGAATAGTTGAACGGATAATTGGGAATTGAAGTAAAGTGTTTAATGTCTCTAATTTGCATGATACCATGAGAATAGGCTTGATTGTGGGTTAGGGAAGCCATTGATACTTGAGAGAGGTCCTTGGTATTTGTTAGGGTTTGCTATTCCCCGTGTTAATTGGAATTGTATGTTAGGGGTAGATATATAATTGCATCGATCGTAATTGTGGTGATATTTGATCTTGGATGTTTTAGTTTATTGATTTATTATATTCGTTTGATTTATTCTAGTTTTCCATACATTAGCTTTTAGTTTATTCCACCATTGTTTGATTCTTGCTTGGTAATTACTTGAGTCTAGATAATTTAGGTGAACCTTAGTCTCTTGGGATTCGACCCTGACTTACCCTGCTACATAATTAGGAGGAATAGTTAGGTATTATTTTTGTTAGGTGCGCGACACGCCTATCAAATTTTGGCGCCGTTGCCGGGGACTAACGGTTTCTTCTGATTATTTGTGATTTGTTCTTGCTAAGCTTTATTCGTTGCTTCGGCTATTGTCTCTTGTGTTTTTGATACTCTGCTTTTAGTTCCTTGTTGCATGCAAACACGAGGTTCATGATCAGACGGTTTAATACCTTTTGATTCTGAAATCAAAGCAACTGTAAGGAGACGAGGAGGTAGAAGAAAAAGGAGGAATTAAAATAATAGAAACATGGTAGACCAAGGAACGAATTCTCTTTTGGAGTACGGTATCCCTGATACGACAACTGGACTCCTCTCTAGCATTGTCAGGCCACCTGTCACTGCTCAGCACTTCGAATTGAAACCACAGTTCATTCAATTCATCTCTAATGATTCATTTGCAGGCACACCACATGATTGCCCAGTAAGTCATATTGATAGTTTCTTGGAGAAATGTGATACTATGAAAATGAATGGTGTTACAAATGATGCTATTAGACTTCGCCTTTTCCCTTTTTCACTATGGGATAGGGCGAAAGAATGGTTGAGAGATGAAGGCACTGGCTCGTTTGATACATGGGACAAGCTAGTGAAAGCTTTCCTGGTCAAGTTCTTGGGACAGGAAAAGACTGAAAGGCTAAGAAACGAACTATATACCTTCAGGCAATCAGATGATGAGTCCCTGTATGAAGCATGGAGGAGATTTAAGCGCTTACAGAGACAATGCCCTCATCACGGTATCCCAGAGTGACTGTTGATTCAAACCTTCTATAATGGCCTAACCCATGAGTTCCGAATCTACATTGATGCTGCATCAGGGGGTTCTCTCTTGACAAAGAACCCAACTGAGGTAAAGGAGCTGATTGAGAAGATGGCGGCCAATGATAATTATCATCCAGGAGGTCGTCAGAACGTGAAAAAAGGAGGTAAGCTTGATGTAGATGCTTTGACTATGTTAGCCAGTTCTGTGTAGGCACTAACAAGCAGGTTTGATAAGCTCCAAGCTAAAACTTTAACTAGCCCCCAGGAGGTTTGTCAAATGTGTAATGTGCAGGGCCACATCGCACCTGATTGCCCGCAGAACATGAGTGAGATGTCTATTGAACAAGTCAATGCTTTATACTCCTCAAATCCCAAAAATCCCTATGACCCCTACTCCAATTCCTACAATGAAGGTTGGAAACACCATCCCAACTTCTCTTATAAGAACACCCAAGCACAACAGAATCCACCACCATCGCCTCGACCCAACAACTACAACTCACCACCTGGCTTCCAACAAAGACCACCTATGAACCAACAACCAACACAACTACTTCCCCAAAAATCTAGCCTTGAGTTGATGATGGAGAGCTTCATTACCACAACCAATAGTGCCATCCAACAGTTGCAAGCCCAGAGTAAGCTCATGGAAAACCAAATAAGTCAACTTTCACAACAGGTGAGTCATTTATTAACTCTTCATGATCAAGCGAAGGTTCAAAAAGAACAATGCAATGCTGTTTTCTTGAGAAGAGATGAACCATCTCCGAGGCAAATAGATGAGAAAGTGCACAGTGTGGAGTCAAAAAAGGATGAAAAGGGTAAAGATGCTCAAGGTCCCAAATATATTGCTCCACCGGCTTATGAGGAACCGATGCCTTTCCCGCAAAGGTTATCAAGGGTCGTGCTCGATAGACATTTTGGGAAATACTGCGAAGCTCTTCAAAAGGTACACGACTCTACTCCTTTTTCCGATCTTTTAATTCAAATGCCTCAATTTGCGAATTTTGTGAAGAATATCAAAGACCAACATGAGGATAAGGAATTAGTAAATAAGAAAGGCCCTACTCTCTTATATGATAACCTACTACCTAAGCTGCATGATCCTGATAGTTTCACTATTCCCTATACGATAAACGAAAAAATTTTCGACAAGGTTTTGTGCGATTTAGGTGCTAGTGTTAACTTAATGCCTTATTCACTGTATGAGAATTTAGGTTTGCAAGGACTTAAACCTTCCCCTATTTCTCTTCAAATGGCTAATAGGACCTCTAGACTCTCTAAGGGTGTGGTTGAAGATGTAATAGTTACGGTTGGTGAACTTGTTTTTCCTATTGATTTTGTCGTCATGGATATGCAAGAAGATCATCAGATCTCGATTATATTTGGTTGTCCATTTCTTGCCACAAGTCAAGCCCTAATAGATGTTCCTAAAGGACAAGTGACCATTAGAGCCCAGGATAAACAAGTCATGTTTAAGCTCTTTAATGAACATAATTCTATATTTGATGGTGGTACTTGCTTAAGAATCGATGCTACTAACCCTTTGGTTGATAAGTATGTATTCGACAGAAATTTCGTGAGAAACGAGGATAAAATCCTACCCAATGATGTGTTTGGCCACATGAAGGTAAGTTCGAATACAAGGCAGGTAAATTATAAAATGAAGGAGTCACTTGGAAGCAGATATTTTCATGGGAAACATCGCGGAGTTCCTTCTTCGTGTGGTGACCCAGGCTGAGTATTACTACGGTCAAGCTAAAGACCTTATAAACAAGCGCTAAATGGGAGGCAACCCATTCTCGATCTTTTACTTGATTCTTTTGCCTTTTTATTTTTATTTGTAGACGTTTCTATTTATGTTTTCATTTATTTATTTACTTTTAATTTTCTCTCTTAATGCAGGTAAAAAAAAAAACTAAAAAAAAAAACGAACTGCAGTCTACTTAATAGGCACGTTCGTAGACCAGATCGTCGCCTTTCAGTCTGAGTTCTATGATATTGGGGGCATGATGCGTCAGCATTTTCAGGGCGGTTCTAGCTCCTTCCCAAGGTATGATTCTCCCCCTCCCGATCAGTAGACCTGTTTCCCTCTCCCCTTGTCCACTTTCCACTGATTTATGCATATATTGAGGACAATGTATGGTTTAGCTTGGGGAGGGTTCATTTTTCACCATGTATATATTAGTATTTTTTTTTTTAATGTTTGGTCAGTCTTTCTTTCTTATTAGTGTCTTTGATATGCCATTACACGCTTATGCTTCTATGATAATGATCATACATGTGTGCTTTGTGAAAAGCTTTTCGAAAACCCATTTACCAATTTGCTTGGAATTGAGTAGGTTTGTGGCTAGGATGGTCTCCCCGCTCTACTTATGTGAATTGTTTGTGTACCCAGTGAGATTTTTGAGCCATCTTTGACTGATTTCACTCTAACTCAGTCTTATTCTTTCATGTGTGATTAGTTGTGCTTCATATAATTGAATTCTTGGTTTTGCTCTTTGACTATTTGAGACTTGAATGATGCATGTTGCGGAAAAGTGATTGAAATTTCCTTTGTAGAAAATAGAGCCTTAACATTTTAGGCCCACATAATTTTTATTTTTTTTACATTCACTCGTAGGTTGAGCCATTTTGAGCCGTGTTTTTCCCTTTTCTTGGTACCCTACGTTTAAAGCCATAAAGCCATTTTTCTAGGTTTCTTTTGAAGGAGTATTACACTTGTTTAAGCCCTATGAGTGTTTTCAAAATAAAAAAAAAAAAAAGAAAAAAAGAGAAAAAAGAGAAAAAAAAGGGAAAAGAAAGAAAGAAGGAAGGAAGAAGAGAAAAGAAGAAGTGGTTTTGAATTTTCATGTACCCATACCTCAAAGTAAAGAGGAGTTATAGAAGTCTTCCTAAATCCTAAATTGCTATAAATCCCTTCTTTTTGCAAGTTTATAATAGAAAAAAAGAGTGAAAAAAAAAGAAAAAGAGAAAAAAGAGGGCTATGCTTATATTGTATGAAGTTAGAGGAAATAAGGTTGGCTTGAACCCGATATTTGAATGTGTAGTGAGATTAGGATTTGTTATATTTTAAGCACCACATTCCCAAATAACGTCGTCCAACCCTTCATTTTCCAAGCCTACCTTTTTGGATTTCATGATTTTTGTAATTGCATCAATCTTTAAGAGTGGGGAAAGTCACATTGCAAGTCTAAAGAGGACAATTCATGTGAAGTTGACATGCATTTTATGCCTAGGTTGAGTGAGATCATACTTCACCCCATAAACACATGAGCGTTTATTGTTTTTATTTTTCACAACTAAAGTGAGAGCTATTCATGTTTGTGTGAGTTGGTATGGGGAGATGTGTGGTAAGATGTTTGTCGATTCCAAGTGTGAGAGGTTTATGGTGGTTTTATACACATTAACTCTAATTTTTGCTTTCCTTTTGATTTAAAATGATGACACATTATGATGATTTGAGAAGTTATCTTATTCCTCCTTTGTGATTGGTGGTCAGTTTATTTGACAAATGAGCAAACAAATGGTTGCTCATTTTACAAATGAGCAATGAGCTATTTGCTCATTTGACAAATGAGTAAAGAAATATTTACTCATTTGTCAAGTGAGGAAATAATTGATTGCTCATTTCACAAATGAGCAAAGAAATTCTTGTTGATTTCATGAATGATTAAAGAAATGTTTGCTCATTTGACAAATGAGCAACTAACTATTTGCTCATTTGACAAATGAGCAACTAACTATTTGCTCATTTGACAAATGAACAACTATGTTTTTGCTCATTTTTTAAATTAACAATTAAGTATTTGCTCATTTGACAAATGAGCAATTAACTATTTGATTATTTGACAAATGAGAAAACTAATGGTTGCTCATTTCACAAATGAGCAAAGAAATACTTGTTGATTAAAGAAATGTTTGCTCATTTGACAAATGAGCAACTAACTATTTGCTCATTTGACAAATGAGAAACTAACTATTTGCTCATTTGACTAATGAGAAACTAACTATTTGCTCATTTGACTAATGAGAAACTAATTTTTTGCTCATTTGTTAAATTAGCAACTGAGTATTTGCTCATTTGACAAATGAACAACTAACTATTTGCTCATTTTCTAAATGATTAAAAATTGATTGCTCATTTCCCAAATGATCAAACATTGATTGCTTATTTCCCAAATAATCAAAGAAATGTTTGCTTATTTTACAAATGAGTAACTAATTATTTGCTTATTTGACAAATGAGCAAACTAATGGTTGCTCATTTCACAAATGAGCAAAGAAATGCTTGTTGATTTAATGAATTATTAAAGAAATGTTTGCTCATTTGACAAATGAGCAACTAATCATTTGCTCATTTGACAAATGAGCAACTAACTATTTGCTCATTTGTGAGTGTGTTTGAATGTTTCAAATACGTTAGCTTACTAGCTCAAGGGTAGAGAATTGTGCAAATGCACAAAAGATATGGGTTCGAATCCCACGTAGGTTCATTTATGTAATGTGGAGACACAAGTTTGTATGAGAGTTTAATTGTAACAAAGTTTATATAGTTATAAATCATTTCAAACCATTTTTTTGCTCATATAATTTAGTACGAATTTGATTTTTTTTTTTTAATTAATTTTGTTTATAGAGATAACCTATGTAGGAATTGAACCTACATCCCCTATGTGTTTGCATAGTTCTCTACCATTTGAGCTAATAGGTTTATCATATGTTTTAAATCATTTTCTATGTTATAAATTTTTAATCAGCTTATTTGATAAATCAACAAAGAATTGTTTCCTTATTTGATAAAATGAACAAAGAATTGTTGCTCATTTGATAAATGAGCAAAGATTTGTTTCTTGTCTGATAAATGAGCAAAAAATTATGTGCTCATTTGATAAATGAGCAAAGAATTGTTTGCTCATTTTGTATATGGACAATGAATTTTTGCTCATTTGACAAAATGAACAAAGAATTGTTGCTCATTTATCAAATGAGCAAAGAATTGTTTGCTCATTTGATAAATAAACAAAGAATTGTTTGCTCATTTGATAAATGAAAAAAAAAAAATCATTTGCTCGTTTGATAAATGAACAAAGAATTGTTTGCTCATTGTGACAAAATGAACAAAAAATTGTTTCTTATTTGATAAATGAATAAAGAATTGTTTGCTTATTTGATAAATTACCTCGACAGTAATGAATATTGAACATGATGCTAGCAGGGGGAGTGGGGCAACATCACCTAATAGTCTAATAGTTCACCAAGGTTAAACACTGACAGAAGAGCAAGAACACTTTTCATCCTAATTTCCACAATAAACTTGAAGAGTTCCAGCTCTGACAATAACGATCTCCAAACAGAAAATTATGAGAAAAAGGAAGTATTGCTCCTTTTTTCTTTCTTTATCTTATTACCTGACAATAATCTTTTGATTGGAGATTGATAGAGTTTGCTATTCTGGCAGATAAAAGAGGAGAGCACAATGAACAATTTTACCAACAGAAGTATTTTTATATAATCTGTTATTTTATAAACCACATTATATACCCTTTAGAAGTTAATTTCCTTCAGCTACATACTTTGTTTCTCACTTCGATTAGCTGAAAAAAAGCCAGCATTTCGTTTATGGTTATTTTTTCTACTCAATCTCAATTTTGGCATACCCCTTCACCATCTTACCCTCTAAAAATAGGATTGGACTGACAACCCACCAATGGAACTTGGAACTTTTTCTTACACCCAATCAACTTTTTTAGCATAGACACACACACACATGAAACATAATCATCAACGATTTTCAAGAAAATGTGTATCATATATAATGCAATGCTAATTTATAAGGCATATTTTAATGAGTTCAAGGTAAAGGAGTATCATAATTCATATACTTGACGAAATAATTCCCAAGCATAACATATATAGTAGATGGTCTCTGTTATTCCCAATACACGCCAAGTTGACTTCAAAAGCTCAAGTATCTCTTCCACTTCCTGTATTACAGATGGGTTATTGTTAACAAAAATGCATTTAAAAAGATATGCATTATACCAGACAATTCAAAAGATCAAAATAAAGAGAAATATTTGGTAAACTAAAAGGTAATCAAGTGACATGCTTGAAAGGCTAGGGAGGCCTACTGTCTACATGTATAAGAAATAAATTAAATAAACTATCTCAATAAAATATGATACACAGCAAATCAAGGATTGAGCACAACATAAATTCAAATGAGATTAATTTATAAAGCTGACAAGTTGAAAGCCATAATCTTGATACTTCTTAGTCTATTATCATGAAATAATTAGTAAAAGAATATCAAATAATCACAACAAAATTATTCAATAAAATCGCACATAAATCGTACAAAATAAATGGTAAAATGACGTAAAAAAAATCAAACAATAATAATCAAGAGTAGCGCTGAAATTACGTAATATCGCTGAAATTCGAACACTAAAATCACTGAAATTCGAACATTAAAATCGTTGAAATTTGAACCTTAAATCCGCTGAAAATTCCAGCCCTCAAATCACTGAAGTTTGAACCCTAAAATCGCCGAAAAATATTGAAAATCAAATCAGAAAAATCAAAAATCACTACTAGAAATAGGCCGATTTTCGACGGACACATAAT